TCTTTATAAAACTATTTTTATATTAATTAATAAATATTTTTTTATAATAGTATAGATTTATTAGGTAATTTGTAATTTGAATTTTGTTAGGTAATTTGAAAGTGGTGATTTATTTTATTTGGTAATTTTTAGAGTTTTATAAAAACTATTTTTATATTAATTCATAAATAACTCTTTTTATATAAACTCTTTTTATATTAATTAATAAATATTATAAAACTCTTAAAAACTATTTTATATTAATTAATAAATATTTTTTTATATTTTGTGTTAAAGTTTTATCGAAACTCTTTTTAATAATAGTATAGATATAGATTTATTAGGTAATTTGTATTTCAGGTAATTTGAAAGTGGTGATTTATTTTTTTAGGTAATTTTTAGAGTTTTATAAAAACTAATTTTATATTAATTAATAAATAACTCTTTTTATAAAAACTCTTTTTATATTAATAAATAAATATTTTTTATATTTTGTTGTTACATTTTTATAGAAACTCTTTTAATAATAGTATAGATATAGATTTATTAGGTAATTTGTATATTAGGTAATTTGAAAGTGGTGATTTATTTTTTTAGATAATTTTTTAGAGTTTTATAAAAACTATTTTATATTAATTAATAAATAAATCTTTTTATAAAAACTATTTTTATATTAATTAATAAATAAATCTTTTTATAAAAACTATTTTTATATTAATTAATAAATAATTTTTTATATTTTGTTTTTACATTTTAATAGAAACTCTTTTAATAATAGTATAAATTTATTAGGTAATTTGAAAGTGGTGATTTATTTAATTAGGTATTTTTTTTTAGAAACCAATAGATAAGTAGGTAACTCTTTTAATAATAGTATAGTTTTATTAGGTAATTTGTAATTTGAATTTTATTAGGTAATTTGAAATTGGTGATTTATTTTATTAGGTGATTTTTTTTATAAAGAAATTGATAAATTGGTAATTTGAATTTTATTAGGTAATTTTTAGAATTTTATATCAATTAATAAATATTTTTTTATAATAATAAATAAATACTGAAATAGTGAAAAACTCTTTGCACATTTAATTATAGTATAGATAGATATAGATATATTTTGTGTTAGAGTTTTATAGAAACTCTTTTAATAATAATATAGATTTTTTATACTAATTAATAAATATTTAATAGTTTTATACTAATTTAAATTTTATTAGGTAATTTGTAATTTGTATTTTATTAAGTAATTTGAAAGTAAAAAGGCACCTACAATCTACAACACAGTGGTAAATGCTAATAACATGTGCAAAATTCACAATAGTTGGGCAGGTTGAAAAAGGAGGTCCCCAGACAAGACCACGTAGTTGAAGGTTCGAAAGTGATAGCAAACAGGAAGAGTGAAGTTTACCAAACACTTGGATGGGAAGGCTCTTATACAGCCTTATGTCACGATCCGATTCCTAAGACGCTTGGAGGATGGAAGACACGCATGCTGGTTGGCAATGAGCAGAGTTTGACTGGGAATGGTTCCAGGGAAGGGGCGTGCAGGACCGCAGGATGGTACCTTTTCAGAGTTCAGGCAGGTCGACTCGGTTCAGTTCGAGGTGCTTGTCGCTAGTCTTGGACTTGACTATGAAGAAGGGAGTTGGCCATCCCTGCACAAACTGGTCGGGAGCTGGAGCCGTTCCCCTGACGAGGCCATGGCAGGCCGAAACCAGTCAGCATGTATCCTTGGGAGGGCAGGTCGTGGTGGCTGACCAGGGCGCTTGCGCGAGCTGAAGCAACGCCTTGGTGCCGCACGGGCCGTGCCGCTGCGCCAAATCTCTAGGCCCGTGACACATGGTATCAGAGCAGGACTTGGGGTAAAGCACGGTGGGGTGCCCCCTTGTCGGTCCGGGAGGGGTCAGAGAATGAAGACGGTGCATTGAAGTTGCGTCGATGTGGAGGAATCAATGTAGTTGGGGGGGAGAGCCTCCATCTCCCCAGGAAGAGGCGTCCGTTGAAGTTGCGCATTGAAGGGCCGGAGGGCCGCGCGCACCAAAGTTCGTGCTTAGTCCTTGGGTGATGCAAACCATGGTGAAGGGCGAGCATCAAGTCGGCAGAAGGCCATTGCTTGCTCGGGATGCCGCGGAGGCGGCATGACGGAGAAGAGTCACGTCCTTGAGGAGTGGACATCCCCTTGGTCCGAGGCCTATCATTGGGCGAGTGCAGTGCAGGGAGCTGCACAAGGAAGCGATGGTGGGAAGGCGAGCATACCGCATGGAGGCAGACTTTGGAAGGGAGTGGACGCAGTAGTGAAGCGCCGCACTGCGACGAGGACGTCGCAGGATTTGGGTGGGGGAGAATGTCACGATCCGATTCCTAAGACGCTTGGAGGATGGAAGACACGCATGCTGGTTGGCAATGAGCAGAGTTTGACTGGGAATGGTTCCAGGGAAGGGGCGTGCAGGACCGCAGGATGGTACCTTTTCAGAGTTCAGGCAGGTCGACTCGGTTCAGTTCGAGGTGCTTGTCGCTAGTCTTGGACTTGACTATGAAGAAGGGAGTTGGCCATCCCTGCACAAACTGGTCGGGAGCTGGAGCCGTTCCCCTGACGAGGCCATGGCAGGCCGAAACCAGTCAGCATGTATCCTTGGGAGGGCAGGTCGTGGTGGCTGACCAGGGCGCTTGCGCGAGCTGAAGCAACGCCTTGGTGCCGCACGGGCCGTGCCGCTGCGCCAAATCTCTAGGCCCGTGACACTTAGCTGTGGCTTTGTTGAAAGAGACTGCGCCTCTAACCAGCCCCCTTCCCTTTGATGATCAACAATGTGTGATCAATCAATAGGAGGCTTCGTATAGAAAGACAATTATCTCACTTCAGCCTTGTCATTCGTTTAATTGAATATTAGTAAGGCCCAGTTCCGGTCTCAAAAGTTATGCGACTCCAAATTCTCCTTCCATGTATGCCACGCAGAATATAAAGATTATAAAATTTCATGTTTTCAGGAGATTAAAAATATAAAGGTTGGTGAATCTGACAAGTGTTTTTGAACCCCACTCAACAACACATCTCAAAATTCAATAATACAAATCGCAACCATACACAACTCAAACCTGCCTGATGAAGTGGGACCACACTGCAACTAAAAGAATAGTAGAATGACAATATTTAGTTCAAACAATTTCTACTTACAAGAGAATTAGGATTTCACACGTCAGACTGACTTTCATTAAGAATAATATAGAGTTCTTCCGAGAAATTCCATCTTCAAGAAAAAGGCCATCATAGATGGTTTGATATTCTGGGTTTATGGAGGTTTCTAGAATTATTAATTTCTGTCTTATTTCCTCCTTCCGCCATGCCTCTATTTATAAGTTTCATAGAGTTTTATTGCAAATGAAATAGGTAATCTTGGTCTAATATGATAAATTTTTATTGAAAATAAAATAGGTAATTTGTGGTGGGGTTTTGTATAAATTATTTTATTTTATTTTAAATATATATGTAATTTGAGAGTTTTATATCTCTAATTTGTGTTAGAGTTTTATAGAAAATTTTTAAATATATCTTTGTCTAATGTGATAGAGTTTTATTGAAAATAAAATAGATAATTTGTGGTAGAGTTTTATATAAATTATTTTATTGTGGTAGAGTTTTATATAAATTATTTTATTTTCTTCAAATATATCCATCTCTAATTAGATTTTCTTTTTATTATATCAATAAATAAATAATTTTTTATATTAATAATACTCGTATAATTAGATTTTCTTTTATTAAAAACTCATAAATAGGTAATTTGTGTTAGAGTTTTATAGAAATTCTTTAAATATATCTTTTCTAATGTGATAGAGTTTTATTAAAAATAAAATAGATAATTTTTGGTCGAGTTATTCTTGTCTAATTAGATTTTATTTTATTTTATAGAAACTCTTTTATAATAGTGTAGATTTATTAGAGTTTTATATCAATTAATAAATATTTTTTATATTAATAAATAAATACTAAAATACTGAAACACTTTGCACATTTAATAATAGTATAGATATAGATATAGCTATATATATCATTTGCTAAGATAATGCATTAAGACTTGGAACACAGTTCATTAACAAGCCTAGAGAAACACCTATTGATAAGGTATAAATGGCCAACTATACCATAATTATATAGAAAATTTGTTTCCACAGTGACTTCTAACACACTGGCCGCACTGTGGTGCCAAATGAGTAGCTGCTTAATAGTATTCATGTAAAATGAGTAGAATCTGAAGATTTAGAAGTCCTTTAAGCAATTTGGACCAAAAACAAAGCTGGCAAGCAAATGTCACCAAATTTTGTTCTATCATTAGTTGCAATACAGTTGTTTTTAGTAATATGAGTAAAATTAGGAGAAGACACATTTAGTAAATATGTGAAGTTACATTGTCCTATGAATATTTATTAGCTTTGTGTAGTTACTTGCAAATACACATTGCTTGTTCAGGTACTTGCCAATAAATCACTTATTTGTTACATTTGGTTCGAGGAATAATGTAAAAGAAGAGGGATAGATGGCTTCCTTTATTTGGCTGGAAAGGAGGAAACAATGATCCGAAAAACATCCTCATAATCTACTATGTTTTTAGAAAGGTGTTTTTTTTTATCTGTCCAAAATTAAGTGAGAGAGAGGAAGAAGAAAGGATACCCTACAAATATGCAATTCGAAATTAATCTTTACTTACAAATTTATTTTTCTCACGCTAACAATGAGAGTATATTAATTAAAAAATACAAAATACAATGTTACTTCATCTATCATTTCTAGTATTTTTTTCAATTTAATTAAACAAAAAATATGAGAAAGACATTTCCTTCCTTAGTGATGCTTCCATCCATGCCCTCGTCATTTCCATCCCTCCAACCAAAGAGGAAGACAAATACTCACAGGGCAATGTAGAGTAGGGTTTTTAAAAAATTAAGGAGCTAATATATATATTTTTGGTAAATAAATCTCTTTAGTATTTTTAAATTTGTAATTATCTTTGGGAATAAAAAATTTGGGGCCTGATGGCCTTTCGGCTCCACGCTGGTCCTCCACTACCAACAACGGAATTGAGGCAAGAGTGAGAAGAAACTAGAAAGGGATTAGACCGACTTCTGGGAATAAGAGAAAAAAGAGGAGGCCGGGTAGAGAGTAGAAAAGAGTAAAGGATAATTAACGGATAAATTGGCCGGGAGTTCACCGGAAAGGAGGATTCCAGTGAGCAAGTCGGGTGGGTTTAGGGTTTACGGCGAGAGGGTCCATCATAGTTCTGTCAATGGTAGCATAAACAAATTGTTAGATAATAACTAGTACCGAATTAGGAAATCGTACATACCACTCTTCTCCCTCACTCATTCATCTATTCTCCAACGACAAAAACTTCAAAGCGGTTCGCTGCAACGTTGCCGGCGAAAATCAAGAAGGTTACCTATCGACAAAGCGATAAAGAAGGTTAGTCCTCAAAACCCTAGAAGTTCTCGGTTAGAGAAAGAGTGTGAGCTTTGAATCCAAGTCGGTCCAGACACGCCTCCGGCTCCTCATGGGTACTGCGGAGATCTTTGGCACCGAAATAGCTCCTGAAATCTGGCTGACCTTCCCTCCCAGACACAAATTGGCTGTAGCCTGTAAGCGATTACATTCCCACTTTTTCTCTATAAATACAGGCACCCATACTTAGAAATACACCCAATTACAAATGTATCATCAACATAAAACCACTACATGTTTTTAGCATGTGATTGTATTCTTGTGCTCAGAGGTTAGATTATAATTGAATACAATCAAGAACTGGAAATTGCTACATTATTTCTGTTCATCAATTTATGGTAATTTAGAGACTGTTTAAATAGCATAATATTGTTCAATTAAACTTGAAAAGATTATGCATCAAATAAGTGGACATGTAAGATACAATTTTGTGGATCCATAGATTGTTAAGGACCGGTGTGAATATGCATACATATTTTTTTTATTTTGGTTGGGAAATCGTTTAAGATACCTAGGTTGGCGATCTCCATTTTTAGTTAGTTTGATAATTGAAAAAGGGGGTGACGGGAATTACCAATGGATGATCATGGTTGTTGAGTGAATGAGGAACATTATATCAGTAAATAATATACTTACACCTGGAGGTAAGATTTGTCTAACAGCTTAAAACCTTTTTTTTTTTTTTTTTGGTTAAGTAACAGCATGGATGAAACTTTTGACTGGAAAGAAGTTTAAGCAGTAGTCTTCAGGGACTTGCTGTTTCTTTACAGAAGCATAGGGGAGAAAATAATGTACTTTTGTTCTTCCCGTGAACCTGGCTCATATCCATGCGCATACACATACCAAAGAAAGAAAAAAAATATATGGAAAAGACCGAAACACTTTTTCTAAATCTTTTTTTTTTTTTTTTTTTAATTTTTTAATTTTTTTTTAAATTTGTACTATTCAAAGGGGTTCAGAATTGCAGAAGTCGACCTCAGAAAATTTGCTATATCTTTTGCAATCTGTGACAATGAAATAAAAAAAAAAAAAGAAAAAAAAATAAATAAAGAGGTTGGTGGAATGGGAGGTTTATTTTGTTTCTATTATTCATTCCATCTTTAAAAATATTTTGTAGGTTTATTTCATGTTAGAGGCATCTTTATGTTAAAACAGTTTGGTTACCCAGCCGGCAAATGTAGTTCAATTGGACATTCTTCACTCGTCAATCACTTTATAATCCATAGTGTATCGCATCCTGTAGAAGAAAATAATGTGCTTTTGTTCTTCCCGTGAACCTGGTTCATAACTATGCGCATACACATACCAAAGAGAAAAGCTGAAACACATTTTCTTCTTCATCTTTTTTATTTTATTATTTTTTTAATTTGTACTGCTCAGAGGGGTTCAGAATTGCAGAAGTCCACCTCAGAAAGTTTGCTATATCTTTCGCAATTTGTGACAATGAAATAAAAAAAGAAAAAATAAATAAAGACGGTTGGAGGGATGGGGATTTATTTTGTTTCTATTATTCATTCCATCTTTAAAAATATTTTGTGGGTTTATTTCATGTTAGAGGTATCTTTCTGTTAAAACGGTTTGGTTACTCAGCCTGCAAATGTGGTTCAATTGGACATTTTTCACTCTTCAATCACTTTATAATCCATAGTGTATCCTATCTGGTGGAAGCCTATGAGCTTTAATTTCTGTAGATGTAACCTGATGTTCACAATGATGAATCATAAGTTAAGAGCTTCCCCACTATATTGGTAGAATATTGCACTCTTGCACAACCTCATGCTCATATGTGTTGTATAAATTTTAGATTTCGTTTGTTGGAGGTAAGGAAAGGAGAGGGTGGAAATAAAGGGATGGAACAAGTCTCTATTATTTGATACAAGGGAGAGCTGGAGGGAAGGGAGTGATGGATGAATGAGTCTTCCCTCCTGGTCACCACTTTTCTATAACAACCAAGCCTTTTTCCCAATTACTTTGGGTCGGCTACATGAATCCTATGTTTCCATTCCTCTCTATTTATGGCCATAGCCTCGGTCAATCCATATGCTATCATATCTTTGTTTACTAACTCTACCCGCATTTACCTTCAAAAAAAAAAAAAAAAAAAAAAAAAAAGGCTCTACCCACATTAACTTTGATCTTCCTCTTCCCTTAGTATTACCCTCAATGTGGATTATGCCAATTTATGGCCCACCACTTTTCTGTCCCTCCAAAATTAGACGGAAAAGAGGAGGGAGGAGAAGAATAAATTTTGTATATTATGTAAAGTGACATTATTACCCTTCACTAGTTTTTCCAAATTATATATAATGTTAAGAAATGGAATGGAAGGTGTCACCTCCTTTCTATCCCGTTCCACTCAACCAGACAAAAAGAAAGGACACTTTCCCTTCCCTAGGGATGCCTCATCCATCGTTCCTCCGTCCCTCCACCCTCTTTTCTATTCTTCAACAAAGGATTAATGTTTGCATACAATCAGACATAGGGATAAATAAGTTGTGATGAATGTATTTTACGGTTGGAAGCTGTGCCTTTAGGTTTCAGAGACAAGGTTTCAGCCCATAGTTGGAATGCATTTAAGCCAGTTCCTTGGACAACATATCATTTATTTGTAGGAGCACAACATCTATAGAAATATTTTTTGACCCCTGCTAAAGAACCATTGCTCATGATAGCTAGTGGTCTATACTGTAAGTTGGTTTAATAACTTGTTTCATGTTCATGCATTATCAGGTTTTCACTTGGTATGGAGCGACAATTGAAATGGATGGTAATACTGAAACTGATTGTACGGCAGATGAGGTATGCTTGGTTGGTCAAAGTCTTTTGCATTGTAATTGGAATGACATATTTTCAATTTTTGATTGCAGACACCCATGATCAGTTACGCAAATGTGCATGCTGTACTCAAAGGACGAAGAAATCGCGCCAAAGCATCGCCTAGTGACTCTGATTCTTCTCAGGTATTAATTCATATATCTTTAATATTCCAATACATATCATATATGTATTTACATGTTTCAATCATGTTTCATTCAATTATTGTTACATATGTGGATTGCAAAAAAAAAAAAGTTACTTATGTGGGATCTTCTGTAGAAATTCCAAATAATTTTTTTTGGACTCGAAATGAGAGCTTTTGTAACCGAAGAAAGTGTTCATATGCTTTTTTCTTGTGCCTTTGTTTGTTTATTATTGATATTCTGGTGCCCTAGGTGTAATGGAACCACAGAAACATATCCCGAATGTGATAACTCTCCAATGGCTCCAATGGTGACATTCCTGTTTGCAATTCCCTGCAGAAAATAGGTTGACACCAGAGTGATAACAAGCTAGAAACCTCTCATTATTTTCAATCCTTTGACAAACAATCTGCCATTGGCAGATGTTAACAGTAACTGTCTCTCTCCTGTTTGCTTTAACCCAAATTATTGGTGTTGCTGCATCAGCCTAAAAACTTCCCTACACTTTTAAATAATTCACCCCTCTTAATTATCAGACATACTTGCTTCCCCTCTCCTATTTAAGTGGGATTACTGCCCAACAAAACAATGGATAGGAAATAGGAATTATAGATATTTGGAGGGGTTGAGGAAGCAAGAAGTTTCTTAATATAATTATCTTTTAGCATTTTATTTTTTTTTTTTATTTTTTTTTATAATCATCTATGACCTTGTTTTTATATAATTCTATTTTTTCTGTGTTTATCATAATTTTTGTTTTCATGTTTTGTTTCTTTTGAATGCCGTAGTGCTTGTCTGCATTTGCAGTTTTTTAATTGCAAACTTATTTTACCAGTTCACAAATTTATCTAAGAACTCATGTTTGCAATTCTGTTTGTTATACTTTGTATTGGTTCAGGGTCCCGGGGTAATCGTGGTGGGACCCACAGATTCTGGGAAGAGTACCTTATCAAGAATGCTACTTAGTTGGGCAGCTAAACAAGGTTGGTAACCTACTTTTGTAGATTTAGATATTGGCCAAGGATCTATAACCATTCCTGGGTGTATTGCTGCCACCCCAATTGAAATGCGATTTGATCCTGTCGAGGGAGTCCTGGTAACATGCTTTCATTTTTTTCTTTGTCAGTTTGATTGTTATATCTTGACTTAATTTTTATTTCCTTGAATGATACCACATTGAAAGCTTGTGTTGCCAGTTGCTGTTTGGTTCTAACTAAAGTATTTTCTGTCTTCCAATTATCATGGATGTTTTTTGTAATTGGTACTTCACAATGCAGATTTGTATAAGGTGCTCATGAAGGAGCTAGCTCAAATTCTGGAAAGACAATTTGCTGGAAATACAGAGTCTCGAGCTGCAGGCATGGTAATCAATACCATGGGATGGATAGATGGTGTTGGTTATGAGGTAATTAAGTTTCAAGCATCTATTTTTGTGCATATCAGTCACACTAACGTAGGGATGTTTGTCGTAACCTTTATATGAGGTATTATACTCAAAAAAATCTTCTGGTTCGTATTTAATGCAGATGCTTCTCCATGCAATTGAGACATTTAATGCCACTGTTGTACTGGTGTTGGGTCAAGAAAGTAATTTTCATTTGAGAACTTTATGTTGTGTTTATTCACATTGTCTGAATGCAATCTGCAAGTATTCTTGTTGTTGGACGTGACGATGTCTTTGTTGGTTTTTCTTTCAGTTTTTGTATAAGTTGTGTGCAAATATATGATCTTGATACACTGAGATGCTTTGCTGACATAAACTTATCAATATATGTATATGTATATATACACACACACACTTACTTTACTGACATTCCGAGTTCAATGAGCAACATGGAGCTTCTTAGGTGACATTTTAAAGTCAAACAGATTATAATAGTACATCACACCTTTTCGGCCCAGAGCATGCTTTTGTATTTTAAAGCCTTTATGTGGTATTAATATACTTAGTTTTTTTTATTACATTTTCTTATGAAATTAAAATTTTCCGATCTCATCTTACTGTTGGTGAGTATCTGAAATTCAGGCAATTCTGGCTGTATCACACTTCGTATTCCGGAGTATAAATTTGATCAAATATCTGTTTATGTGACAAAATTTTTAAATTGCTATTTATTCATTGCCTCATACTGTCAATACTTCTGATAACACTAACTTTGTTTTGAGAGGCAAAGCTGGCACATGGGGAAAAGACTTTGTTCTGCAAACATTAAGTCCCAATTGGGACAAAGTGGTGCGTGTCATACCAATAAAAATAAAGAAAAAAAATTGTTTGAATTAGTGGAGTTTTAACTTAGTTTTGCAAGTGTAAATTAACCATTTTGTAGTCTGTGTGTATCGTAAACATGGTATATATATATTTTTTTTATGGTTAGTTTGAAGCCTTGAAAAAAGGGAATGTTTTGCTTGAATTGTTTCCTAAATTAAGAAATCTATATCGAAGAGACTTCACTGACAACCCCAGGCTGTTGGTTTTTATATGCTTCTATAAACTCTGCAGGAGAAACTTTGCAGCATGCTGAAAGATGTATTGAAAAACAAGCCCAATGTGGACGTTGTGAAACTTCAAAAGTCAGTCGGTGTTGTATCCAGAAATTCAAAAGCCCGTCAGAGGTCCAGGAGCAGCAGGATAAGGGTACATGGCGATTTTTTCAGTTATTAAATAATAGTATGATGGTCATTGGCCCATTGTAGTATTTGTTTTCTTGTTTTCTTAAGATGAAAAAGCTCGATCATACTTTTTTATCCCGGAATAGTTTTATGGCCTTGCAAATGATCTATCCCCGCATTCTAATATCACAAATTTCAGTGATTTGTCAGTCTATTGTATTGGTGGTGGACCACAGGCTCCACGTTCAGCTCTGCCAATTGGTGCAGAGCCTGCTGCAGATCCTACATGGTTGGTTCCTGTTAGTATCAACAGAGACTTGATCCATTTAGTTCTTGCCGTTTCATTTGCCAAAAAACCAGATCAAATTATTTCAAGGTATGGATGGATTCCTCTTCTTCAATTATTATATGAATTTTATCAGACAATGGGAAGAACATCTAGTTGATGGCATTTAATCCAGGCATTATGTCCAGTAGTAGGATAGCAATCATGCTTCTGTTTTAGAGAACAAGTTTAAATTTATACCCGATTTGATGATTCCTAATATTCTGCAGCTACAAATCCTCGACACCCAAATACACACTCCCCAGTCCCCCTCCCTTTCTTCTTTCCCTTCCTCTCTGTTTCCCGGTTTTTGTCCCAGAATAGATTGACCTAAAAGAGTAGGTTGGGTTATACATCATCTCTTACCAAATAATGTGGATAATGTGGTTGCCCTTGATAGGTGTGAACCTAAAGAGTTTAGTTATAATTATCAGTTTTCTTTTTTAATTTCTACCATAACCTAGGGTTGACTGTAATGCATATTTTGTGCCATGTGCCTATACTGCGTGTAGGAGGTGTCCGTGCCACGGGACCTGCTATTTTTGTTCCATCTAGTTAGCTTCCATTTGAAATACCATTACATTTATGAGCCTCCGCACCAAAAATAAATACATAAATAAAATTGTGATTAACTAACTAACTAAAAATTTTTCTCAGATGAAGTAATGTTGCTGGGTTCATATATGCAACGGACATCGATAATCGGAGTTTTGAACTTAAAACCTGTTAGGTTGGTTAATGTGGCACTATGTTTCTATGCTGTTTTCATTTTATTATTGGTTTAATAATCAATTGCAGGAAAATAATTACATATCTCGCACCATCAGTCGTTCCCGGGGAAAATTTTTGATTGTGGAGGTTTAACATGGCTGGAAAGGCTGAAGTTAACATGGTTTTAGTTTGGTGACGACTCCTGTTCTGTTCTCGTAAACGGAACTGTAGTAACAAGTGCAAAAGAGGAATTAACCGTCCCGCGTTGTGTATTAGTGAGTGTAGCTGTTTTCTAACGCAGTTAACTTTTTTTTTTTGTTTTTTGTTTTGCATCATATCCAATTTTGTTGGGTTGGTATATCAAGATCCATTTTACATGTGTATTTTCTATTAAACTCATAGCTAAACTTACTGAAATTCCTAACGATGGGATTGATTGTTCTTTATTGTGTAGATTTTTTTTTATACTTGACGAAACAGCTGAAATACTCTACTATGTACCATTTTCCCTATTTATTCTTGAAGGATATTTTGATCTTTTCACGAATTTTTAACAAAACTCAAGTAGTTAGTGAGTTTCTTGTTTTTTTTTGAAGGGTAGTGAGTTTCTTGTTGATGTAAAAAAAGTAGCAGTTTTTATTTTATTTTATTTTTGGAGTTCGCGGGGTAATATGGCACCAAAATGGTATAGCTCGCGGAATTTTTTTCATTTTACCTTTATGTTAATTTCAATCACCCAGTCTAATTTTCCTTCAAGTTTTATTTCAATTATTAGTGGCGTCTTGTATCAAGCAAAAAACAGATAATGTGCTTATATACATAAAAAAATAAAAAATTGCTTCTTAAATTGATTTGTCAAACCTATTTGTATTAAGGTGATGTGGATAATGTGTTTATATACCGAAAGAGTTTTAATTCTCGTGATTAGGATTAATACTTGAATTTTAAACTTATTTATTTGAATTTATTCAATATATTAAATAAATAAAAATCTTTAGATTTTTCCTAAATAAATCAGTACTTCTTTGAATCTTAGGTAATCTTAAGTCTTGCTCTCAACTTAGGTCTTCAAGTCTTCGATCTTCTATTTGACTTAAGTGCCACAGTTTGACTTGTGAGCCATTGTTGATGATGTGGTGTGGTTTGTTAACTATTTGACCAATCAATGTGGGCCTTGATGATGTTGTGTTGCCATAGAGATTATGATATGTGGTGTTGCCATAGAGATTATGATATATTTATATTTTATGATATTGTAATATTTAAAGATATTCTTTTATAATTACACTCAATTATTACTCAAATTATTTAGGTGATCTCATAGATAGGTAACTCATGTATGTATTAAGTTTGAGTTTTTCTTCTTCTCCAATAATGTCATGTGAAGTATTGGATTGATTGATTTGGGTTGGTGTGTCAGAAAACATATGTAGTATTTTGTAGCAATACCCGTATGTTCGACATGGGTATAAGAATTGAAACAAGAGATTCCTTGAAGGTAGTTTTCGGATGCTTGTTTGTGTTGATTTTATTTTCATCTATGAAATCTTGGCCTATCTAAGATAATAGAATACAATACACTGGAAATTTGTCGCAGGGCAGCCGGCAACTTCCTGGCCCGAAAATCGAAACTAGCCGAAATGAACCGAAATGAGTTTCTAAAAAATTCGGACGTCACATAGAGGTTTGCAGAAAATAGTTTTTAAAGAGAAAAAAGGAGATTTCGAGATGCTTTGGAGTGTGAGATCGATTTTCATTGGGGGCATAACCAAGAATACAACAAAGAAGCTCATTCACGAGCACTTTGAGAGATTTGGTTGGATAATTTTTGTCTATTTAAAACCTAGTTACGATTTTGTTACTTTTTGTGAAGCTTAATCTCTCATCTCCGTCTAAAGCATGAACATACCATTAATGACAAAAGGGTAAGCATGATAAACAAAATCCTTCTATATGCTTTCTATTTTGTTGGTTAAGCCATATAGTCTGAAGATGCGGCAAATGGAAGAACAAGTGAAGGACTTCATATTTTATTTTCCTTTCTTTTCTTTTCTTTCGATTAATTACATATATATATATATATATATACAGGGGCGGAGCCAGGATTGTATCTTAGGAGGGGGCATAATGTATTTGACAGGGGAAAAAAAAAAAAAAAAAAAACAAAACAAAACAACTAACATGGCATGTATAATTTTTTTCACATCATAAGGCAAACAAAAAAAACAAAAAAGTAAAGCAAAATCACAAAATTTTTAAGGAGCAGTTTAATATTCTTGATCTAATTCATATGATAGATTTATATAAAGTTGTGAACAGAACAGAACTAAATTGAAATTACTAAAATAGATGGTAAATTCATGTGAACAAAACAAAACTTGGGTCTCCATATTCTATAAAAAAAATAAAAATTGAGTGTGTTTTACCGGAGAAAAAACCTGCAAATTGAGAGGTGAGTCAGTGATAGATTGACAGCAAAATAGAACATTCATTCTGATTTCTATCTCTATCTTTTGATTCTCACCTTCCAATTTAAAAGGAAATTGAAAAATGGAGCAGGGACAAAGGCGGAGAGAGCCTGAATATTATATACAAAACCTCACTGTTTTTTTTCAGAATTTGATCAATACACATACGAACTACAAATTATACTTCACTATTCTTTTCTTCACCGCTCAAAAACACCACTAACAATTGTCTTCCACTTTAAACTTTAGCCCTACACATAACACACTACTAAACATTATCTTCCTCTTTATCCCTTGCAAATTCTAGCATGTTTTCACTTTAACTTTTCTTTTTAATTAGTTTTAGTATTTTTGAGGAGGGGCATTTTTGAACTTTCAAAGCAAAATGCATATAATAATATTGGGAAAAAAATTTTCAGGAGCAGCATGTGCCCCCCTGGGCACATGCTTCCTCCGCCCCTATATATATATATATATATATATATATATATATATGTATGTAATATACAGTATGTGACGATCTTCTTCAAAGAAGTCTTAAATTCTTGATTGTTAATTATCTTTTCCTTTCTTTTTTTTCCTTTTTGGGACGTAATCAAAATCCTACCCGACCTAGATAATAATCATGCCTAAAGCATGTAAAACTAAAAAGAAAAGAGGAACTAGAGGGAGAGAGAGAACTTGCGGCTGAAAAGAGGAAGAAAAAGAATGAATCTGTGGCCAAAAAAAAATCTAAGGCCTTCTTTTATACTAAAAACCAATCTGTGGGGCTTGTCTACCACTAAAATGCTTTAAACAACCTGTTTAAACCCCGAACAATGGCAAACAACACAATGCAATGCAAAACAGATAAAACTAACGGAAACTAATAACACAACGATGTCAAAAATTTCCAAATACGAAAATTTGCCGCGGGGCCCATCCGGGCCCAAAAATCGAAACTGGCCGAAATGAACCAAAATGAGTTTCTAAGGGTTCTAAACCTGAATCCCACACAACTCCCGAAACACCATGGCGTGCATTCTCATTCACAAAAAAATAAAAAATAAAAAAAATTCTGGGACGTAACAGAGAAGTTTGTAGAGAATAGTTTTTAGAGAGAGAAAAAGGGAGATTTCAAAATTCTTTGGAGTGTGAGATAGATTTTCATTGGGGGCATAACCAAGAATACGACCGAGAAGCTCATTCGCGAACGCTTTGAGGGATTTGGTTTGATAATTTATATCTATTTATAACCTAGTTATGGTTTTTTTACTTTTTGTAAAGCTTCATTTCTCATCTCAGTGCTTGTTTAAAGCATGAACATACCATTGATGGCAAAAGGTAAGCATGATAAATAAAATCCTTCTACATAGTTCCGAATGATGGGTTTTTCTTAATTTGTACTTGTGTTTAAACCTTTCTACAGTTTGGTTAACTAGTTACTTTAATGCAGGTGAATGTCGTCAAAGCATTAACAAAGGAGGAAAAAGCCTCCCACACAGCTTCAAATTCGAAAATAAAAAGATTGAGAGCAAATCGCAAAGAAGCTGGACAAGTCTTCCTGGGTTACGGAGCTACTGTTGTTCCAGGCCATAGAGATGTTGTTTTAGGCCATGGAGATGCTGATGTTCCAGTCCATAGAGCAACTGTTGTTGTAGTTGTAGTAGTAACATTCGTGGTGGTGATGTTGATGTTGTTTCTCTATCCATATATGAACAAACCTACGACAATGGTTTGTTAAACATGTTTTTGGCTGCTTCATTGATTACTAAACCTTATATTGTGTATTCGTCTTTAGATTTGTATTCATCAGTATCTGTGAATATTGTCTTGTCACAATATGTACATTCAGGTGTCTAAATGTATGTGATTCTAAAATTTTAAGTTGTTTCTCAAGTTCCCTAAAATATATGTTTGGACTTTTGTTTCCCGTCTCTGTGTCTCTTAAAATTTTCAGGTGTTGCAGGTTTTTGTCCCCTTTATTACTTATTGAAGATAAGAAAATTTATATTACTTGCACAAACTGAAATTTTAGAAATCTGTTAGAGCTTGATACTCATTGTTGGGTTAATTCTAACTTTTTAGGCAAGTGGTAATCTAACATGGTATCGGATATTTGGTTCTGTGAGATCTTGGTTGAAGTCTCCATGACTCAAGCTTTACATTTTTTCTTCTATTTTTATAGATGAATAGTTTTCTCAAAAACACCAACAAATTGTAGGATCCATGGTTAACTATTCTTGAACCCCCTTTAGTAATTTTCTGCAAGATTCTTCATTTGTCAATCTAATTGTTGGATTCATTGTTTTATTCACTGTTGTCTAGTTATAATCTAACTGCAAGATCCTTCCAGTTATGTTTCTATGCTACTAAATGGATTTTAGAATATCTGTGCAATGCTTTAACTGATTTATTTCGTTATCTTTATTGTTATCTAATTTTCATTGTGTGCCTCTTGGAAATTAGTATGTACGCCACACTTTTCTTCATTTCTATTGTATTTCCGTGTCATGTTAAAAAAGGATATATCCCTAAGTCCCACTTACCGAATATAGAGCTTAAGGTGAGAGGGCGAAGGTAGAGGTAGAGCAACGTCTCAGGCGGTGACGAAGTGGAAGTGACATTTCGAGATCAAATCGAAGGAGCAAAAGTTATAAAATTAGAATGTTGGGTTGTTTAGTCTGATTGGAGAGAGAAAATGAGCGATGTGGGGCGGTGAGTGGTGGCCCAAAGACACATTTACAGTGGAAGGGGTTGAAGAAGAAGTGACGATGGAGAAATGAGGTGGAATAGCTGTTTAGGCGATGGTGGAGGGGAGGTAGAGAGAAAAATGTGGGATAAGGGTAAATCTTTCATTCAATACCATACCCATATTACAAGAGAAAAAAGGTACATTTTTTTCATTAGACCACGGGGACAAAATTTGTTCTGATGAGATACACTATTAGTGCGAAAAATTATGTTTCTTGGCACAACACACACATAGATCAACCCGTTACTTGCCACAACACATACACACATATATATCAGCTTGTTACTTGTCACAATCTAGCTCTTTCTTCAGTTAGTTACGTTTACAGTTTAGAGATAGGGGTTT